AATCAGATTGGCATCTGACTTATCAACAGCAATATGCAAAGTAAAATAACTATGGATTAATATTTTTTAATAAACTCAAACAAAATGCATGTGCCAAGGATTTTATATCTAGCTAAGCTATAGTTTCCAATTTATACATGTGGAAAGAATCAGAGAAATAGAAAATAACTATTAGAGCACCAAAGTAATAATTGCTGAAAGAAAGATCAGCTGATGGGCAAATCTTTAGGGAAATAGGATATCTATCTAGTTTCAAAGTGTCTTCCCAATATGTTTATTAAATACTGGGGTGCAGCTATCATTTTTCTGCAAATTCTTTGATCCTTTGATACTATGCTCCAGATGATAGAGCATAGTTTCCATCCTCTTGAGTGTGACCTGGAATTGGTGACTTGTTGCTAATGAATGGAGTATGGAAAGAGAAATATAGTTAACTGTACAGTGAGGAAACCTAGCAGACCCCACCTTAACCAAGTGATCCAGGTTAACATCATGGGTGATAAGTCAGGTAATATCATGTACCCCCTGACATGATACAATGAGAAGGGCACTTCAATTCTGTGATATTCTGCCCCCCAAATTCCTAACACAAGTCTAACCATGAGCAAATATCACACAAACAAAAACTGAAGGACATTATACAAAATGTCTAAGTATTAATAGTACTCTTCAAAAGTATCAAGGGATGAAGGACAAGGAAAGACAGAGAGACTGTCACAGATTAAAGGAAACTAGGAACAATTTTGAGACAAGTGGGAAAAATTTTGATGTGAACTGCACAGTAGTTGATGTTAAATTTCTGGGGGTAATAATGATAATATGACTATACAGAAAATGTGTTTGTTCTTTTGAGATATGTTTTAAAGTACTTACGGATAAAGTGTCATGATGTCATTGTCTATATATGTATTATATATATGTGTATATGTATTGTATCTACATATGTATATGTGTATTGTATGTATGTACACATTTAGAGACAGTCAAAAGCAGTAGAATGTTGAGAATTTTTTAATGGCTTAATCAATTTTTTAAATAGTTAAAAGTGTGTGAGCATTAATCATATT